GATTGAGCCCCGGGTTGGACTCCATGCTTAGTGGAGAGTCTGCTTGGGATTTTCTACTCCTCCCCTACCTCAAATAATAAATAAATCTTAAAAAAGAAAGGAAAGGAGAAAGAAAGAAAGAGAAATAAATAAATAAATAAATAAAAGAAGGACAATTTTCCCAACCTCTGCAAATACTTCTCAAAGATTGTCCCCAGCTGTCAGCCCCCTTTGGGGATTGCCTTACTGGAAGAGAACTGCCCAGTCCTGGGTCCCACCTTCTCCTCAAGGGTAGCCAATACCATCCCTGCTTTCTTGCTCTGCCTTCTGTGGGTACTGAACCCAAGGGCCCTGTCAAACAAAGGGCCTGCTTGCTCATCTCCAACTTGAGTGTGTTTTTGGGGAGACTGGCATGGGATAGAGGCTTTCTCCTCATATCCTCTATCCCATGACGTTGTTGTTCAAGGGTGATCAGAACCAGACCAACCTATTCATTCATCCCATCCTAAAACAAACAGGTGGGGAATGAAAACCAACACTCTGGTGTCTTACTGACTGAATAAAGCTTTATTTTAATGCAAAATAAAACGAGAAAAATTTATATATTCGTATATAACAACATCCAAAATGTTTTCTGTGGTACAAATGGGATCATCCTAAAAAGTCTGTAAGAAATTCATTCTCCGCCCCCGTATGCCAAAATACGATTTCACATAATTTATCTTCAGAACTTATGAACAGACTTGGTGTCATAAAAGCACAGGAAAACACTAGAAGAAGTGACTGTATAAACAGTAGGGCTTGTTTTTATGTTCCAGTAGTAAACAGCACGGCAGTCCACATCGAGGGAAGAGAACACTCTCCCAGAGCCGAGTCAGGAGACAGTCTTTGGGGTTCACTCGGCACTCCAGGCTGGTGAGTTAAGCCCATCTTTAAAAGTCAGGCGCTGTGTGATTCTACTACTATTTAAGGACATGAGGGAGAAGAGAGTTTCCCTTAGAAGTAGTAGCTGCATATCAGATTCTAGGCTTATTTTAGATATCTACCTTTTATTCTCCTTTTTTTCAGAGAGGTGACTTTGTAGGGATGCCTTACGGAGACTCTCCTTTCTGGTCTCATTGTGGCATCATTTCCCACTAAGTCTGTGCAAACTGGGAGTGCAGAGAAATACTCCTGTGGCTGTTTCTGGATCCAACTCCCTCCCGCCTAATTGCATGAAATCTGGACTTTTTGTTGCTCCTGGACTCAGAAAGCAGTAGGGTGTCTACCCAATTTAGCACCAATTTGAAGGCGGTTCATTGCGGATTTCAGAGTTTCATGCCTATGGGAATTTTATAGACACACATTCTTATCCAAACTCTGCAGATCTCTCTATCCCCCTGAAAGGCTGAAATGTTTCTCCAAAGAAAGCAAATGCTGGGGTTATAGGTTATAGGAACAAATAATATTTAAAGGCTGGGTCTTTATGCATATAGACTCTACTCACCTTGTCAGGTGCATTTCCTTATGAAGACAGTTCAACAAGTTCAGGAGTCTTTAAAGGAAATAATGAACCACGTCTTGATTTTATTTAGTTGGTGACACAAGCAAAGCTACAAGGAAGTCACATACATCCTTTATCGGGCAGCAGGCACAGCTTGCTCCATGGGGTGACAGTGGATCTGTGGGTCTCACCACGCTCTTGATTATAAGATCTTTGCTCCCTGCTGTTCTGTGGGGTCAATGCATGTTGACCTACAAATCTAAGAATAATGAACTTCACGGTAATTTTATTTTTCAATTTTTGTTTGTTACTCAATTATGATTTAAGAAGTCACGCCTGTCTTTGAGATTGGCTTTCATCCACTGATGCAATATTGTGGGGAAGGAATTTTCTTCCAAGAGCGATATTGCCACAGTCCAATGGCACATGGGATTAACAAGATGCAGAGTTTTCCTCCCTGGCAGAGGACTGAATTCTCCTGCACCTCAAAGTTTTCAATGGTCTGCTCCCTTTCCTATCTCTCCTCCTGCAGAAAGGTATAAAACAGAGCTCCTTAAAATATCTAGTGACTCCAGGCCAAAACATCCTTTCAAGGCCTCGATGACCCAGCGGTCAGATCAGGAGCCAGTGGGTGCGTGTTGTTGGGCTTGCAGCCCACTGTGTCACTCTGTTCCTGGGGTTATTATATTCTTTTTTTTTTTTAAATCTAAGTTTTTAATTTTATTTATTTGTTTGACAGACGGAGATCACAGAGAAGCAGGCAGAGAGAGAGGAGGAAGCAGGCTCCCTGCTGAGCAGAGAGCCTGATGCGGGGCTCGATCCCAGGACCCTGGTACCATGACCTGAGCCGAAGGCAGAGGCTTTAACCCACTGAGCCACCCAGGCGCCCCCTGGGTTCATTATATTCTGAGCAACAAGCAAACACCTGATTGAGTCTTTCCAAGGCTATAAATTAACGGAGAACTACCTCCTGCTACTGATTCCAGCCTGGTCTTCTAAATATTCTAAACAACCTGCTCTCCTAGAGACTGGGCAAGAGTTCTGCAACTTCTGGGTGGTGACAGAGGAAGGCTGGGACACAGGCATTTATAAAGCTTACCTTCAACCTGCTCTCAGTTATGGCATGGCTTGACACAGCCTCTGTTGCACATAAGGTAGCTTCTTTTGGGCAGGGTCAAATAGGGCATGCGTTATATACGTCAAGCAAGAAAAGAAGATGGTTATAATCTACTTTTTATTCACTTTAACAGTACCTTCTCATCCCTGGCTGCCCCCTAGGATTGACAAGTAAGTGTTCTATTGACTTTGTATAAACACAAAATCATGCTTCGAGCGGCTTGCCCAGAGCCTGGAAGCTGGAGGTACTGTGCTCCCAAGGTGGCTACATGGTCAAAACATGGGCATTCTTCCTACAACAGCCCCTACTCCGACATGGACAGAAATCTCCCTTTCTCGCACTGCCTCTGGCTGCCCCTCGTGTGGACTTGGACTTAATCCAGAAGGAGACTCTGGCTTGACTACATCCAATAGCCTGGAGAAATTTGGTTAAACTCTGCAACAGATTGAAGAGCTGATTTTTAATGCTCCCCAACACGTTACCTTTCCCTCACTTCATCATTTTCTTCTGGAAAGTTTATTTAGTTTGAGGGGAAAGTGTCATTTAGCATGTGGAGAAGCCCCATAACTCCCCTGCATTCCACCTCTGGGGGAGCTGGGCACAAGGCCCTCGGCCTCCTTGCGCAAACTGCAAACAGTATAAGGTGCTCGCTTACGAGAGACGGCAGATGGCCAAACCCCGCTTGACAGTCTGTTTTTAAGATGGCCATAACTAAATTGCAGTTTAGAAAACGATATCTCTTAAAGTCCAGTAAATAACAACCATTCAGGTCTAAAACCAGCGGTTGCTTCATTCCTGGTAATGCAACTCTATTTTAAATTAAAAAAAAAAAAGACTAAACTGGGTTGGATACTCTGTATATTCCATAATACCATAATTTATTAAACCCTGTCCATCAGGGGTATTCTAATCTCAGCCACAATATGTCTACGTTGAACTCAAGACTTTTTGTTTTGTTTTGTTCGGAGGGAATGGAGAAGGAGCAGCAAAGGCTTAAAGTCTAAGCGTCCCCGAACAATTCAAGCTTGCTGTTTTGCTGGTCCTCAGTCTTTTGTTGTGTGCTCATTTGGGTCAGGCTGGAAGCTTTAGAAGTCCTGCTGGAATAAGTAGAAAATCACTGCAAAGCTCAAAGGAAACATGATGGGTTTTGGAGGGGGAGGGTGTTGGCTTTTCAAAGCCATGAGACCTTCCAATTGGAGATGCTGGCCTTGGTGTTGCCCTGATGTTTGTGACTGAAATACAGCAGATAAATAATGATCTGGTTTCATGCCTCTTTTCCTTTCCCTTCTGACTTTTTTTTTCCTTTTATTTCCTTCCCCATCAAACTTTCCAGAAAGCATTTTTATCGTACGTTCTCCATTCTGGTAATCACATGCCTTCACACACACACATACACACACATGTGTGCACGCACAAACACACACACACGGTCAGTCACTGCCACCTTCCACCTCCTGGTTATCAACACTAAAGGCCACAGTCAGCCCCTCCCTGTCCCCGGTGCTGATGGCACTATTGGACACTGATTGTGCAATGAATTGGCGTCTCCAGAGCATTGCTTCCTGTGTAACCTAACCAGCAGGATCTCCTTTTCCCAACTACATTTTAGCCCTCAAGTAGGAGCCTGAAAGTAGAGGCCCGGGGTTACGAAAATTACAGGCAGGAGATTTGGGGATGATTCTGAAACCTGATCTCTCAGTGGTGTTTTGCCTGGGACTTGCGGGGAAGGAAGGTGAGGACCACGGGATTTTGGGCCCTCTTTAACCTGGTCCACAGAATATATTCCTTCTGGAAGCCCTGACTGGCTTTGCACGGTCTCCCAGGACATTACTACTGCATTCGTATCTTATTTTCTTCTAATATAAAAAGTAAGAAAAAGTAATTCTGCCAAATGAGTGGTACCGGGAGCCTGATAAATTCTGCAAATAGGGAAATGCAGCCTTCCTCTGGGTATAAACATTTCAAGGAAATCGCGAGTCATGTTTGCTGTTGTTTTGTTTTCCCAATGGAAAAAAAAAAAAAACAAAAAAACCTACTCATTTAAGATGCTCGTATTTGCAGCCACTCTTCAGACTTAACAGCTTTCCTAAGGGGGCTGAGCCCGAGCCTCAGAGACTGCCTCCGCGCGGCCAATTCCGTGGGGCTCCTGTGCACCAAAGAGGCCCTGTGTGCAGCGTCTCCATTGTCATTTGCCGGTTTAACTGCCGCGCTCACCGAACTGAATGATCCTAAACGTCTTCCGACTCTCAGGCAGTAACTGTAAGACCCCGTCCTCCCTCTTCCTCGGGATCCCCCGCCCTCCTGTCCCCTCCTCTTTGCCTCTGGCCAGCAGTCAAGTGTTGCAACCTCGGTGAGGAAAACCCATCCATCCCGTGGAGAAGTCTGAACAGGAGGAAGTCCTGAAAGTCTAGGAAGGGCAAAGGTGATGTCACACGTGTCCCTCCCTGGGCCGGGCTGAGCTTGGCGCGTTCAGCTACACGGCTGCAGTCATGGGGCTCTTCTGCCTGGGATCCTGGGCTCGGTAGGGATACCGGTCTGGGCTGCCCCCTCGGGGGCCTGGTCTACCCATTTCTGGATTGGCGGGCACTCTGTGGTGCTGAGGGGGGGAAGGTGGAACATCTTGTCGGAAGGGTCCTTTGTGCTGGGGGGCTGGCGGAGGAGGGTAATACTGAGGATACCGGAGGTCTGCGACCCTCAGATCTGGGGCGCGAGGGTAGCTCCCTTTGGGAGGACGCACAGGATGAACCCCCGGGTAATATGGAAGCTCCCTTTCCTTGTAGAGCGCTCGAGGTGTGGCCGTCAGGTAGTCTACGGGACCGGCTGGTCCTCCCCTGCAAAGAGAAGAACACATACGTCAGCAGCTACTAAGCCAGCCAGCTGAAGACCCCATTCCTCAGCCTCCCGTGTAGTTTGGTGTGGTCACGGACGAGGCCTGGCCCATGGGGTGTGAACTGAAGTGAGGTCCGCCCTTAAAAAGAAGAGGTGGAACTGTCTTCTTCCTCCCTCTCCTTCCTTTTGGCTGTGGGAGCCGCCATTTTAAACTACACGGAGGAAGCCACGTGCTGAGGAAGGTCCAACAACAAGAGGGCAAGGGCCCATGTCCTTGGCACCGTGGAACCCCATGTCAGCCAGGACGACTGATACTCAGATTGGTGCCCGAGAGAGAAGTCTACATCCACCTGGCTTAGAGCACTGTGTGTCGGCCTTCCGTGCAGTGGCCATACTGGTTCTGTAAATAAACAAGGCTGACTTCAGCTCTCCTGAAGCGGGATGGTTTGACCCCCTCCTCGGTACGACCCTCCCATGACAGAACCATGTCACAGACATGGCGGTAGAAGTGTACGGGTTATTCAGGCTTATAACGTTCCCCGCTTGGTCTGTGGGGTGCTGTTGACATGAGCCATGGTCTCGGTCTAACTCTGGTTAGCTTCTCTCACATTCCCCATGTGCCCTCCCCTCTCTACAGTCTCTAGAGAAAGTCCTAACCCAGAGCTGGGAATTAGCCACCTAGAACCTCGAGGTAAAGCAATTCTATCACCAAGCCGAGAAGCACGCTCTGGGGCCGGAAGAAACGCTCAGAGCAAGCGACCGACCCTGTCTGGATGTCTCTACGAAGACAACAAGCATCCTCTGACCCATTTGCTGAAACAGAAGCCGTCCGTCTCTAAACTGTGTACAGATGACTGCATCTTGTCTAGCCTGGGGTTAAACAGATGAGTTCTGTTTGCAGCTCTTAAAATCCCATAAACCTTCTGTGTTCATACTCGCCGCTATCATCGCCCAATCCTTCCCACTTTCTACTAGTCTCCCTTCTGTAATTTTTTAAAAGAAAAAAAAAAAGCAACAATCATAATTAATGAAAAGCTCTTCAATGTCAGAATCCAAATTGGGAGAGCACTTGAAAGCAATGACAGACCTCTAAGAATACAGTGTCTGTGGTTAATCAAGCACCGTCAATGAGGGTCAAAATCACCCTGTAATCTGCAGAGTTTGGTGTTAAAACAGCTCTGTAAGTTCCCCCAAATCAGTGAAGGTTTGACAGGCTCCAAGTTCAGGTGGCTGTGGAAAGTAGCATGTGAGCATGGTCAGGAGGCTGAATGATAGCGCTCTCTTTCTACTTTTTGATGTCTTAATCGGGCTATGTATAATAATGAAAGATCCTCGAGCTTGGGGTAATTTAGCTGGAGTTTTCAGATAAAAAAATTAAATTGTGTACAAGTTATTATAACATCAACTGCTATTATTCAGTGCAGTTTGCCTTGCTCTCTTTTAAACTGTCCATGACAAATGGAGCACACACGCAAAATCTCACTCTAGCCCTGGGAAATAAAGGATTGGGGTTACATCTTCCCTTTCCTTTTGAATTTTATTTTTGATTTAGAAAACTTCCAGCATTCATTATCTCTTTTGTCCTAAAATATTTTAAGCTCCCCTCCTCCCCGCCCCCCATGTCTATTTCCTTTCGGTTCATGTTAGAGATTTCCGAAACACTTAAAAAAATATTCTAAACCTGTGCTTTCTCTCGAAACCCACTGAAGCTGTTTCTCTGCATGAAGTGAAACATGTGGTTTTTCTGCACTCATTTTAAGCCCTTGGGATAAATCACAGACATTCGCAACACACAAACATTATCTGCCTTAAAATGAACAACCAACCAACGGTCCCTCCGGACCCTCTTAGCGGGAATGTTTCCTGTTTAAAATGGAAAGAGAAAAAGGAGGAATTCCAGGCCTTGGACTTTTAGGGTCCTGGGCTCTCCGCGGAGATTCCTCTCCTTTAAAACAGAACATTATAGAAGACAGGCACACCTTGTGTTTTTTTTTATTTTTAATTTTTTTATTTTTGAAGAGACAACCCAGACCAAGTGGTGACAGGGCAGAATCCACCATGAATGTCGCTGTGACCACACAGGGGTGGGGTGGGGTGGGGCAGCCAGTTTATCTCTTCTCCCACACCTCACCCCTGCGACTCCTTCACCTCTCCCAGCAAGGGACAGGCGGGCTTCTTCCCATGGGCGATTGGGAAGAACTCTGAGGGTTTTGTGGACCCATATCCTTTCCTCTGATGGGAGGTTTTACAGCTGGGAGTTTGCTTACATGTGGCAGAAACCAAGTGAGGTAGCTGTTCTTTGTCAAGAAATGAAATCATGGAAACTGTCTTTTCCCGGAGAACTCATCAAAACAGTTATTGTTTTTAATTTTTCATAGAGAAGAAAAACAATGAGCTGGCCTATGAAAACACTGTTAAGGTTCAAAGAGTGATGGAAGAATTTTCCTTCTTTGATGGCGGGGGCGCTGCTATTGTTTAGAATAACTTTTTCCTCAAAACCCAGCATTTTTGGGTTTTGCCAGAGTGACTTCTAAGGGCAGGTGAATATTGTGTGCGTGTATGTGCACACACAGAGAACCCTGGCACACACACACACAAGAATGATTTTTAAACAGGAAAAAAAAAAAAGCCCTTCTCATTAACTTGATAGGAAAAAGAAAGAATAAGGAGCTGAATATTTAGCTTTGTTGATCTTGAGTTTCCCTTTTGTACATTTGGGTGAAATTTAGTGTTTGTAGGAAAGCACAAAAACCAGTCCATTCTGGGGCCCAAGAAATGCTTATGGAAGTGACCGATGTTGCATGTTTCCGGTTACCGGTCAACTTTGAGAAATCCCGGGGCAGCTTCCTCCAGAGACTATGATGAAAACAAGGACCCGAATGGCAAATATATCAGTACTTCCAGACCCCTCATTCTGCAGGTGACCTCATGAGTTTTATTGAATGTGTTACTAATTTTCCTAAAAAAAAAAAAAACAAAAACACTTTTCCATTGAAAAATCTTACTCAGGAACCATATTTACCTAAGGAAGAAGGAACTAGTCTGTTTTTGTTTTCTTTATAATATACCTCTTTGAGGAAGCGATCATGAAAATATCTATACTTCTAAAATTTTGGTTATTTTTTTCACATTTTTCATTGTTTACTTTTTTCCTATTTTATTCTTTAAAAGATTTTATTTATTTATTTACTTGACAGAGAGAGAGAGAAAGAGAGAGACCATAAGTAGGCAGAGAGGCAGGCAGAGGGAGAAGGGGAAGCAGGCTCCCCGCCAAGCAGAGAGCCCAGTGCGGGACTCAATCCCAGGACCCTGGGATCATGACCTGAGTGGAAGGCAGAGTTTTCACCCAACCCACTGAGCCACCCAGGCACCCCTTCCTATTTTATTCTTGATTAGGATTGTTTTTGGAGACCAAAGGCTTCAGCTTTTGCTTGGAAAACTCGTAGGAACTATCTCAGTTACGCAGTTTCCAATCACATAGATGAGGACACCGGCAATAATGAATGCTAACCTTTAAGCCGAAACGTGACAAGGCTGTATGGTGCTGATATGTGAAGAAACAATAACAATCACTTTCTTTACATGAGATTTTTCTCTTTTTGCCAGCCTAGTATGTCACTGGTTTTCATTAAACAGAAAAGGGTCTGAAAACCAGACACTAAGCGGGTCAGGGAGCCAGCCCCCAGGTTCCAAGTCTTCACGCTATGGAAGGATGCAAGGCACGTGCCTACATTTGCTAAGGCAATCCTGTATGGGGAAAGGGCTCAGTATTGGAAAGACTGAGTCACTGGCAAAACTTTTTAGCTGGGAATGAGGTGGTTATACTTACTGGAATAGAAGATGGGCCATGAACAATCCTGAATACTCCTATCGGTCCCTGCTCTCTCTTCCTTCCCTCCTGGATTACAAAGAAAATCTGTTTTTTTCTGCATTCATCCCAGTAGGTCATTCTCACTTCATGTGGGCGAAAGACCAGTTATGGGGGCACCTGGGTGGCTCAGTGGGTTAAAGCCTCTGCCTTCGGCTCAGGTCATGATCCCGGGGTCCTGGGATCGAGCCCCGCATCGGGCTCTCTGCTCAGCCGGGAGCCTGCTTCCCTTCCTCTCTCTCTGCCTGCCTGCCTCTCTGCCTACTTGTGATCTCTGTCTGTCAAATAAATAAATAAAATCTTTAAAAAAAAAAAAAAAAAAGAAAGACCAGTTATGTACTAGCTAGAGCACAAACATCTTGAAAGAACCGAGTCTTATATATGCAGTGATCGCCCTCAAAGCTCAGCACATGGCTTTGCACACCCTAGGTGCTCCATAAATGTGTGTTGAATTTGTTAATGAGGGTTTAAAGTGAAGAGAAAACCCATAAACATGTACAATAAAAGATGGTCAGAAGTGTGGAAGGAGTGGAAATAGGTCGGTGGATAAAAAAATAAAAGGAGGTAGCAGATTCTCACTGAGAGCCAGAGACTGGCAAAGGTCAAGGTAAGACTGGTCTCTATTTCCTCTTCCCTGTTTAATTGAGAAATAATTGACATACATCACTTTATAAGTTTAAGTTGTACAGCATGATGGTTTGATTTACAGCTATTATGAAATGATTACAATAGTTCTAGCTAACATCCATCTTCTCATATAGACATGATGAAAAGAAAAGAAAGAAGAATAAAGGGGAAAAAATTCTCCTTGTGATAAGAGCGCTTAAGATTTACACTCTTAACAGCTTTCCTATATATCATACGGCCGTGTTAGCTACAGTCATCACGTTCTACATTACGTGTATATTACACGGTCTCTAATTTTTAAAGAAGGAAAGGGGGAAGGAAAACAAGATGGTGGGCTGAAAAAAGGGGTTGGATTGGGTCTAACAAGGAATAACTATAAACCTTATCAGGGCATAGGTTATTGTATTTGTCTCGTTTGCTCAGAACAGAAGTATCCTCTGTTGTCTTCTACAGTACTTGAAACATCGGTGTGTGCTTAGTAAATCTTGGGCTCACATTTAATTGCCT